CAGATGATTATGATCATGAACGGAACCCTCTACATTGCTGCTAGGTATGGGGCCCTTTCCCCTTGTCTGCCTTCAGAGTGTCCAAAAGCCCAAGGTCCTAAATTTACCAGCTCTGCATTATTTTTGAGATCTTGAGGTTTCTAAATAGAGTGTTATTTAATTTAAAGGCTCCTGTAATTTGTCAAGCAATCATTATTTTAAAACTGTCTATGTCTGTTTAACCCTATGTGGATTTCAATAGAAATAATAGCATATTTGGGCACTTACACTCAAATAATCCACTGTTTATCTTGAATATATATGCAAATATTTATTCAAGCACCCATTAGAATGCTCTGCTCCTCAATACTTTGTTTGTTTGAGATGGAGTTTTCGCTCTCGTTGCCCAGGCTGGAGTGCAATGGCACAATCTCAGCTCACCGAAACCTCCCTCTTGTGAGTTCAAGCAATTCTTTTGCCTCAGCCTCCCAAGTAGCTGGAATAACAGGCATGCACCATCACGCCCGGCTAATTTGGTATTTTTAGTAGAGACAGGGTTTCACTATGTTGGTCAGGCTGGTCTTGAACTGCTGACCTCAGGTGATTCACCCAGCTTGGCCTCCCGAAGTGCTGGGATTACAGGCATGAGCCACCTCATCTGGCCTAATACTTATTTGTTAAATTAAGTAGAATGTGTAAACATGTATTATATAGTGTAAATGTAGGTGTGTGCATTAAACCTATTTGTATTTTTTGCAGTTATCGTATATATCATTCATAATCTATATCATCACTTTGAAAGAACGGCAATGACAACCAAAGAAAGCATAATATATATTTCAGAAGGTTTTTATTTGGTTTTAGTAAAAAAAATATTCATCCATTGGGAAAATGTTATTTAGACAGACAGACTGATGTCTTAAGGCTGAATGGCATGGTAAGAATACGGCTCAAACAGGGATCACATAAATTTAGGCTTTTGTTATAATTCTGCCCTTAATTTAGCCGGACCACAGCTTCTGTGGCCATAAGTATCCTCTGCCAAATGAGATGTTGTATTTGATTACCTTAATGAAGTCCCTGAGGAGTCCAACAATATATGATCCTCCATTTTGGGAGTGTGTAGCTATTCAAAATAATTCCAAATGAACAGCAACATGGAGCACTATCTTGTAGTGTTCCCTGTGGTCTTTCTTGGCTCTACACTGTTTAATCATTTCACACTAGGGAGAAGAAATGGAGATTATGCTTTTTTTGAGACAGCATTTCACTCCCATTGTCCAGGCTGGAATGCAGTGGCGTGATCTCAGCTCACTGCAACTTCCTCCTCCTCACCAGTGTTAAAGCAATTCTCCTGCCTCAGCCTCCTGAGTAGCTGGGACTACAGGCACCCGCCACCATGCCCAGCTAATTTCTGTATTTTTAGTAGAGATGGGGATCCACCATGTTGGCCAGGCTAGTCTCGAACTCCTGACCTTCAAGTGGTCCACCCACCTCGACCTCTCAAAGTGCTGAAATTGCAGGTGTGAGCCACCATGCTCGGCCTAGAAATGGAGATCGTTTCTATCTGGCATAAGGAAAGAACAAATAAATAACAGTGGTTGATTCTTCTAAAGCACTTAGATGTTCTGAGGTGACAAGCTGTGCAACATAAAGTTAAAAAAAAAAAAAACAAAAAACAAAAAACAGCTAGACTAAAACGTCCTGAAACTGCCCCCAACTTGGCTACAGGAAGCAATGTCCAAATGCTTTTCTAAAGTTTGACTTTACAAATACTTATACAGTATATACAACTAGTATGTTGTGCACATAAATTAACAAACATAGCTGTAGATTATTTATGAATGTCAATTCATCCAATCCTGGAAACAACCCTATAAGAAGGAGCTATTATTATTCCCATGTCTTATTGGAGGAATCCAAGGGACAGATAGGTGAAATGATGGGGCCAAAATGACAGAGGCAGGATTTGAACCAGGATGGTCTTGCTCTAGAGTCCATGCTGTCATTCCCTGTACTTTGCTGCATACTGAGGAATAGAGCTGGTACTGTTTGTCCTGAGAATAACCCTTGTAATAGCTGTAGCCCAAGAACATGGTCATTATGAGTAGTCATTATAAAGCATTTCCATAAGATGCTCAGTAGTCACCTCTCTGATAGAATACCAGCTCCTTCTTAAATGTCATTTTTATTTTCCTAAACATAATAGGTTTGGAAAATGACATTAGTACTCAAGGGCTGATCAAAACAAATGATAAAACATTGAATCTGTGAGAAATAGGTTGACTTAAGAATCTCTTGTGAATTGTTCACTTTCCAATTGAATCTCCGGGGGAAAAAATGGTATAACAGACGGCCCTTGTACTCAATGATTTAGCAGCGCGTGGACCACAGGTCCCAGGGCTACACGAGTGTTAGGAGCAAGGTCCTATGCAGACTTAAAAGTGACCATTATTCTAGCTCATTAAAACCAAGACAGTTTTATTCTAACTCCTCACCCCAAGGAAGGTAAGGGAAGGAAGAAATAGAAGGATAAAAAGAAGAAACACACTAATATTTTTGAAACTATCAAATAAACTCATCTTTCATTAGAGGTCAAGTTTATATCACTGTAGCATTGACATGTTGGTTTTCACACCATACGCAGCCAGTTCCTCTCAACACACACCCTTAGAAAAATTTTTGAAGGAGTTCCATGCCCACCATATTTAGGGCCTCTTCTCTCCTTTTAATTTTACACTTTATTTTTACACTTCCAACTTTAATTCACTTTAATTTTACACTTCCCAACATTGTTCTGAAAGATCCAAGTTTCTAGGCAGCAAGTAACATGATTTAAAGCTAAATCCCTCCCCTCCGCCCCCCGTCGCCCAGGTTCAAGCCATGGCAACACAATTCAGTGGTGCTTGCTGGAGGGGGAAGAGGAAGTCCTAGGATTAAGTCAGTTTATGTTCAAATAACTTAATTCAGGAAGAACAGCGTATGAGACCTGGGATGCACACTAAGATGGTTGGGAATGACCCCTGATCCTGGTCTGTGGTTTACCATAAAGCACCATTTTTGTTTGCTAGGGCCATGTGAGCTCTTGGATATTGAAAAAGATTGTCATTGTCCAAAAGAAGATTTCATTCACAGAATTCTATGTTTAAAAGGCTTCCCAGTTCTTCTAGACAATTGGTGTCAGCAATCGCAAGCCAAGTCCCCTCCAGAACCCAGGGGACTGAGTGAGTGTTGGTGGCAAGAACCCCTTTCAATTCTGCTTTATTATTATCCACTTTGTAAATTCCTCTTCTTTTTTAATCTCTAAACTGCTAATTAACATAAACAGACCATGCCAAAAGGGGGCAATCTGAGAGCTTTCTGAGGAGCTGCCAATGCATATTAATCAGTTGTTCATTTACAATTCATATGTTCAGCTCCGACTTCAGTTTTGAGGGGAGGCAGGCAAGGAAAAGCCTCAAGTCATCTCAAACCTGATACCAAAGTAATAGGCAATTCCATTCCAATAATGAGTCTGACCACAGCACCGCCAATAAAGTCAAACAAGTAATAAACAAATGCAATAAAACTGCCTTGAAATTAAAGAGCATGGCGATTCTGGCAGCCTACTGAAGTTTGAAGAAACTTCCCTATTCAGCAATTTACAAAACAGGCCCCTAGTCCTCCACCCCTTACCATGTCCTTCCCCCCTCTCACCCCATGCACACTCACAGTAGCAGGCAAGGGAATTTTCTAAGCCAACTGCCCTTCCTGCTCCTTTTATCTTCACGTGAGATGGCCTGTTATTTTTCTGTGTTGTGTTTTTCTAAAACAAGAAGCAAACAGATTTTCCAAGAACTGAAAAAAAAATAGATATATATATATGTGAATCCTGAAAAAAAAATAGATATATATATGTGAATATATAAGAAAAGAAATAATTCCTTTCTTATCAGCTCCTGGCTCTTTCCTTTAACTAACGAGGTGGCTTAAAAGTCTGCATAGAAGACTTGAGGTCCTGGTTTAAAGCTGTGGGTAATTTTCCAGCCCCAGGACTTCCTGCATTTTAGAAAAAGTCAATGTTATTTCAAGGGAAAATGAGCTGTTTTGCTTTCCCTCACTAGCCCCCCATCTCCTCTGTTGAGTGTAGTTCTTTTCTTTCTTACGAATTCCAGACAAAAACGCCCTTGTACTCAGCTCACACAGAAGGGGATGTTTAAATATAGCCCCACACCTGAGCTGCTGATTCTTTCTCCCCTTCCAAGGCTAGATTGGCAGCAAATTGTAAAGACAACCCAATTCTCAGCAAAACAGGAAGGTGAACAGAAGCAAGAAATGTAAACTTTAGCTTAAGTACATTTTAGACTTTAATTGACCGTCATTATGAGGAAAAGAGTGGCTTTTGGAAATAATTTTACCTTTATCGTCATCCATCCTGTTGACCAAATAATCAAAGTTAAGATGGAAATATATTTTCAAAAGAAAGATGGAGATGGAGATCATTTTTTTGTTAGCCCTCTTGATGAACAAATGTGGCATGTTGAATTCCAAGTATTTGGTACGTGTATTTGAAGATAATGAAAGGGCACACGAACCCATCTGTTTTCTAGATTTGGGGCCAATTTAACTTTCAGAGCCCTCCCTTCTGAGCTACATATATGCAGATGTTATAGATCTAGTGTCAGAGAGAAGAGTTAATACAGGAAAGTTTTCATAAAAGGTGTCGCTTGGAGCACAATGCCATGATTTTTCAGAAGGTGCTAAATGGGATCCGGAGACATCACTTGAAAGCTGCGCTCTTTTCTTCTTGCATGTGGATATCATGTTTTTTTAAGAACATGGATATGGGCTTATCTGCCCTGATAAGACATAACTCATTAAGCAGAAAATGAACTGTTTTGACTCTGTGTTTGATTTGACCTTGTATTAATTTTTCTTTGCCTATAGGGACCATATTTATACTGTCGATATAGACACATCACACACGGAAGAAATTTATTGTAGCAAAGTAAGTTGTTTTAAAACCATATTTGTAAAATGAAGGACCTTTGGATAGTTCTTGAACAGAATATGTATTCTAAGTGCATTAAGATGATGTAGCTAATCATAATTTAGAGATGCCAACATGCATTTTGTGAAATCCTAATTGGGGAATAGGTTAGGATTTAATACATGTTCAGAAACAGTTATGTACTTCATATTTTATTCATCAAATGTATGTGTACATATACATTTTGAAGTTTTAGGTAATTTCTACATTTCTTTTATTAAAATATTGCCTCATTTGTCCAGGAAAATATCAGTTTCCAAAAGTAAAATTTTGTTCCACAAATGTGTTCTACAAAGGTTTCAATGTTAATTTCCATGTCTTGCAGTATTAAGTTTGATTTGACTGTTGTGGTTCAGGAACTTGATCGTTACCCGTTTCAGACAGACATAAAGTATAAGCTAAGCTTTCCTCATAACTCCACATGGGGATATTTTAGTTAATAAAACCTGTGCCATAGGAGTAGAAGATCCCTTCAGTCCATTAATCTATGGGAAGGACTATAACCTGAATTAAATCTTTGTCCACCCAGAGTGAATGTCCTCTTTATGTTTAAGAAAATGACTTCCATATTTTAAGAAAAAAGCCTTCTTTATAAAAATTGATTTTTATAAAACTGAAAGGAAAGGGCAAGGACACATATTTTATCAAAATGAGCATAATTTGGCAAATTAATTTGGATAGCTTATGTGGAATTTCCACACCGTTGTTTAATCTTCTTTCCTTTCTCCTTCATCTTTATCTCAAACAGAAGAAGATCATTTTGTGGTTTAATGAATAGATAGGAGTTCAAAATGGAACGTTTTCATCTGGAATCTTTTGTTGTTATGGTGAATTAATCATGGAGAAAGGGTGCAGAAAGCTTTCAATAAATATATGTTCAGGCTTTAGTCTCCCCAAGGGAACTCTTACTTCTAAAATCAAATGCAACAACCTCTGGGCTCTAATTGATTTCTTTCTTGATCCCTGCAGAAACTGACATGGAAATCTAGACAGGCCGATGTAGACACTTGCAGAATGAAGGGAAAACATAAGGTAAGCAATTTTCATTTCTCCTGCAGCTGCCACTTTGGGTTAAGTTTTTGACTGTTATATCCAGCCATAGACCGTGATGTAGAATGGATTGTTCTTTTTCCCTTTTCCCTCAGTAATTGCTTTTTTCATCAACTTATTGAAGGCTTTAATTTGCAAAAATAGTTTGCTTTTAATGTGATGAAACATTACAACAGCTGCTAGGCCTGCATCATGAACTACTTAGGCGCACACAGGATTATGGACACAAAGCCGGCTGCACAGAGTCTTCTGAGTGCACTCCGATGCCCACCTCCGCAGTCCAAGGCCCACAGGGAGTCTGTGGAAGAGCTCATAAAAGGCTGCCGCAGACATGCGGGGTTTTCTGCCTTTGGTCATATGACAACATAAAAACACACTTCAGCCAGCAGCTTTGTACATCAGGGAACACCGGCGCATCTGGCATTAAAATTAATATGATGGGAGGTTGGCATTTCCAAGCTTGCCTTCCTTTTGTGACATAAAATAAACACACACTCTTCCATTCTATGCCTTGTTTTTCTTTACTGTTGAAAGAGTAATCGTTGATATCGGCATCATCTTGTGGTCGTTAACATCAGGAGGAACTTGAACTTTTAATGGGAGAAGTCCTCAGCCACCTCCATTTTAACCTTACTGACCATGGCATACAGTGAAGAATCAGTTTCTGTATTGAATGGACATGATACAAACAGTTTGAATTATTTTTCAGGACGAGTGCCACAACTTTATTAAAGTTCTTCTGAAGAAAAACGATGATGCATTGTTTGTCTGTGGAACTAATGCCTTCAACCCTTCCTGCAGAAACTATAAGGTAAATGCTATTTGTCGGTTAGAACCACACTGCCAGGAGGCATTTCATAATTTACTGTGATTGTACCTGCAGCAACCTAAGAGGGGTAATTCAACACCACCTGAGTTCCTCTCACTTGTTCAACTTAATGTATTGCTCCACATGAGTGATCCTGAGCAGGCCTCTAAGCTTCCTGTTTGTTGAGGATTGATAGACACATTTTTAAAGAGCCTGCCTAGCAAAGTTAGTTTCTGTGAGACCCTTTTCTCTATTGTTCAGAAGACTGACATACTTACCATGTACACCATGTGGATTTCCTTTCTCTATTTTTTCTCCCTCCCACCCCACTATCTAACCTCTGAGCACAAAAGCACACTTATATGGTGAGTGATTTCTATTCTAAAAGGTATCTCAAAAGCATGCCATTTGAAACTATAGACTTTCCTGCAAGAACACAGGAATTTAATTCCATTGAGCACTCAGCTTTCTTGACCACAGCCTTACTTACCTTGGCTTTATGCAAGCAGCGGGAAAAAAGCCCTCTTAAAGAGATAGTAAATCTAGCTGGTTTTGATGCAGCTATAATAGAGGTGCTGATGAAGGAGCAGGGACCTTGCCAGGCGTGGAAGCAGAGGTGGCAGCGATCTGAGGTCTTGGCTGCACCACTATTAGCTTTCCTTGTACATCTTTCTGCCAGCCTTTCTCAAAGGAAACACATACTGTGTTTTCTACTGTGGCCCGTCGCTGAGGTTATAAAGACAGACAGGAGGCCTCAACCCTTAGGGAAGCCAGGCAGGGAGAAGAAAACAATTTCATGGGATTGCTGCCATGGTGACATCATGCAATGGATTATGGAAGCACAACACAAAAGTTCCTGCCATGCATGAGGTGAGGAGTCTGGGAAAGCTTCATAAGATGACCCCCTGTCTTCAAACTTTCCTACCTGTTGTTCTCACACCTGGAACACAAATACCACCGCCCTTAAGAAACACAGGCTCTACAAGGGCAGGGATCACATCTGTGATTCTCCAGAACCTCACATAGTGCCTCCCAAACAGGTGTTTAATTAATTTTTGTGAAGCATTGAATGAGGTAATGCCTAATCTTTGTCTTAAAGGGTAAGGAGAAGTTAGCCAAATGAAGGAAGAGAAGCATTCCAGTTAGCAGGGAACAACATGAACAAAGGCATGGAGTAAGAAATGGCCTATCGAGCTTGAGAAACCTCATTTGGTTCTGAATTGTGTGACTGTGAAGTGACAAGTGTTAACAGAAAAAAGCTTGAGATGTAGATGGCCCCAGGGATGAAGGGAAGAGAATAGATTCAGGAAATACTGAAGTGACAAAAACCGGTAGGATTTAATAATTGATAAGCAATTATTATCAATCTCTCTTTATCCTGGATAAAGAGAGAGAGGTGAGTCAAGAACGACTGCTAGGCCATCTCTTGGTGAGTAGATGGATGGGGCTGCCACCAATTCAGACAGGAAATAAAGGAAGACCTGTGAGATTGGGGTTGCGGGTTGGGGGAGTGTGAAGGTAAAGGTTCCATTTTGCACATTATGAGAATGCCAAGCACTGTGAACAGCACTGCCTATGGGACATGAATAGAGCTATCTAGCAAGAAGATGGATCAGTAAGCTTTGGTTTAGAGAGAGATGTGGGGAGAAATATAGATTTGGGTTCCATCATCATAAAGTGAAACCCTAGGAGTGGGAAGAATGAGAAAAGCAATGATGGGCTGGAATCCACACCAGCAAGCTCACCAGAACGACCCCCTGTCTTTTCTTGGCATGTACAGTGAAGGGAGAGTCTGTTTGACCCTCATACTCATCTTCCATCTTACACTTGGAAATGGGCACCAACAGGGCCAGGGTTAGGGTGGAGCAAGTGAGGCACGTGGCTCAGGCACAAAATAGAAGGGAGCACCAAAACATTCAGTAATTAAGATGTCAGATTTTTAATGCAATATTTTTTAAAAGTCAAAATTAGTACATAAAGGTCTGTTATAAACAAAAGATCAAGTTTTTAAGTAGAAAGACGAGATCTTTATACTTAAGAATTTTTATTAAAAAATTATTTTATCAGTGTATAATAGAGGTAGCCAGTCTAGCCCAACATTTACTCTAGCTAGTGACAGCATGCAGGTAAGGTTTCAACTTTAATTTACCACTTAATATTCCATCCCTGTTTGTCATTATTTAGGACTCATTAAGATTAATGCTTCTAACAAATCCCAAGGAATTCCCTAGTTGGAAAGCTATCTTTTATGACAAATTACAGGTTTTCTTGGCACAGTGATATACAGGCCATGAATGGTCTGGCTTATTCTTCCTGTACATGTTCCATTTCCCACGATTCTACACCTATGGTAATGCCATCACCTCTTGCTTGTTCTAGCCACACCTGCTGAGACATGCTCCAGGAGGCCAGGCCTCTCAGAAGCCGCAGATGAGATGTTGCTCATGCTTAGTTCCCAACAATATGCCTAGCACTGTGAATGGTAGTAAGAACCCTTGGCATTGCTCAGAAAAGTGTATTTTTAGACTCAGGGCACAGCGTGACATTGCTGATGATATGGGACATAATGTATTTGGCTGCAGGGAGAATGACAGCTTCTCTCTTAAGTGCTTTTTATCAACAGATCAGGACAAAGGTTCAAAGTGAAAACAACGACCAGCCTTCCACTGAAAAACCCAAGTCTTATCATAGCACACAAGCATCAAGTTGATTAGAGTGACATGAAGCAAGAGAGTAACAAATTTTCAGTATCTGCCCCTCTACCATGCACTGATCTATATTAATTTTTATAACACAAGTAAGCTGAATGTGTTAGAAAGGTTATAGCTCCAAATTAGATTATCAAGATTATCTGGGGGAGAGCTTTGAAGGCTACATACTATAAATCTAAAACTGCACTCCCTGCCTTTTTCCTCCTGTTCTCTCAACCTTTTGAACTTCTGCAAAAATCAGGCTGGGTCTTTGTATAATTATCTGTACCCGATAGTGGTTTAACTTCCCAGGAGCTGCTGTGAAGTCTCGGATTTGATGACTGCTTCAAGGGTTAGTTTTTACTTCTTGGAAAGAGGAAATCACTATGACTTTCGTCTCTGGACCTTTCCAACCTCACAAACCAATACATTTGTACTTCACTACTTCTTGCCTTTGACCAACTATAGCTATAGCCACTTTTTTTTTTTTAAGGATTAGTTATATTATAAAGAAAACCATATACCCCTTGTCTATTGTTTCCTCATTGCTAGGATTAGAGCGTGCACAGCTTAGGATAAGGGCATTTCCGTTGCATCACTGTGTGCTAAGGCATCATTTTGAATACATGCCAGACCCACAGACCACAAAGTCTGTCAGAGTTCAACAGAAAGCTCATGGTTGATATAAAATATCTGAAAAAGACTTTCATTAAAAAATGTGCTGGGTGGAAGAGTACACTGCTTGAAAGAATGTCTGATTTGACCATCTTTCCTCTAAAAATATGTTTTTAACACAGCTATTTTATGTGATTCTCAACTACAGTTTTAAAAAAATATATAGTGGCTTCAACAGGGTCCATCTCAAAGTGGTTACAGATTTAAAAAGGCCTGTCACATCCTGGACATTATTTCTGAGGGTTTACGGCAAAAGAAAAGGTTGTTGTTTGTAATTATATCCGATTATTTCACTTAGATGGATACGTTGGAACCATTTGGGGATGAATTCAGCGGAATGGCCAGATGCCCGTATGATGCCAAACATGCCAACGTTGCACTGTTTGCAGGTAAGCGACCTGATTTCTCCTTGTCGCATTTGCTTTTGCGTGTTTCATCCTGTCACTGTGAATCTGCTGTAGAGGATTCACGGAGTCACAGTTGTGCTTTGATTCTCTGGTGAATACTGTAATTAAGAATGCCTTTCCGTTTGAAATTGGTATGAAAATTGTACTTTTGCTTCTCAAACGAAGTCTGTGCCACACTTACCCATGCGTTTGTGCCTTCAGGAAAGGATAACAGCATAGCACTGAACATGTGATGAATCAGTTAGGGAATGTTTGGGCTCAAATAATAGAAAATCTCACCTCAAACCACCAATGTAAAAAATAATAATAAAATTTAAATTTAAAACCCCCTACTGATGTGCATTTATTGTTCAAGCTAGGATGGACTTTGGGGTTGGCTAGATTCAACAACTCAACAGCGTCATCCGGGAGGCAGCTGCTTTTTATTCCCATGCTCTGCATCAACCTCATGATGAGACTGGCGGTTCTCACAATCAGAGGATGGCTACCAGCCCCAATTAGTGCTACATGTCTTCTTGTCCACATATAGAAAAGAAAGGGAAAGAAACAAAAGGAAGCCTCTGGAAGCTCTCTCAGAGCAATGAGGCCATATACCCACAAGCTTCCAATAAACATCTTCTCAAATATCATTGACCTGATTAGGTTACATGCCCATCTCTGACGGAAAGACCATGGTGGCTGAGGGGAGGGTGCTAATTGCTTAGGCTGACCTCTACTCCCCAACACTACCCCTTCTTTCCACTGCGAAAGATATAAAGAAATCGCAAACAGACCATCATTTTCAGATTTAGTGGGATTTTTGTGTATGAGATTGTGTGCTTTAATTAGAAATTTATTTAGGAATTCATTACCAGCTGTGTATGTGGAGGTGGATGTAAGAGAAGTGTTGGTATAATAGTGATTGTTATAGCTTGTAATAAAGCAGTTAACTATAATTTCCATCACAACAGCTAAAAAACTGGCACATACTAGCTGGATGAGGGACACTAGGGCTTTGATTATGAAACAAGATTGGTTCCTGGCTTCCTGAACCTCTCCCTCAGTGTCATCCATTTGTGGGCCTGAATCTGCAGTGACAGATTGTCAAGTTAAGAAGGGCAAGTTCCTCAGGTTCTCCCCCTAAATGAGAGCACAGTATTACTGAGAAGCAGTTCTGTCAAGACCACAAAGTCTTGTAGACCTATTTGTAAGGTATTAGCAAGGCAAGTGGAGAGCGTACTTGGGCATATTCCCAAGTGCATGACTCCTGCTGGAGGCCCTCACTGACACTTGGAACCTGCATTAGTTGGGACCTTGGAGAATGAGGACTGCAGGGGAGAATTAAAATTTAACTGTAGGTCCAGGAGTGGTAGCTCACGCCTGTAATCCCAGCAGCGTAGGAGGCCAAGACGGGAAGATCGCTTGAGCCCAGGAGTTCAATACCAGATGGCAACATAGTCAGACACCATCTCTACAAAAAAGAAAAAAAAATTAGGTGGGCATGGAGATCAAGAGGTTGAAGTTGCAGTGAGCTGTGATTGCACCACTGCACTCCAACCTGGGTGACAGAAGGAGATCCTGTCTCAATAAAATAAAATAAAAACATAATTTAAATGTAAACTGAAAAGACGACATTGTAGCCTAAGGTAGAAAAGGTAGAATAGGCAGAGAACTTACTATGGCCACCAAGTTTTTAGGAGCTATACAGAGCAAGTCACATGAGTTAATACTATGACTGTCCCCACCCCTACTGTTATATCTAAATAGATTTTCATTTAAGTGTTTGAAATCTCATAAAATCTCAGCCCTCATTAATAGGAGATCCTCATTGCAAATGAATGGTATCATATTACTAAGAGTGACAGAGGCTGGGCGCAGAGGCTCACACCTGTAATATCAGCACTTTGGGAGGCAAAGGTGTGCAGATCACCTGAGGTTGAGAGTTCAAGACCAGCCTGACCAACTAAAAATACTAAAAAGGCCAGCCTGTCTCTACTAAAAATACAAAATTAGCTGGGTGTGGTGGCACATGCCTGTAATCCCAGCTACTCAGGAGGCTGAGGCAGGAGAATCACTTGAACCCGGGAGGTGGAGGTTGCAGTGAGCTGAGACAGTGCCTGCCATTACACTCCAGCCTGAGCAACAAGAGTGAAACTCCATCTCAAAAAAAAAAAAACAAAAAAAAACAGTGGCAGAAAAGTATTCTGTTCTACAAGTGAATGTTCTGGTGAGATACTCAGTTTTTAAAAGAATGCAAAACAAAAAGAGTTTTGGGGAGTAGTTAGAAGGAATAGCCATCACCATGACCTACATTCCCCTCTACCTTCCCCCACTACTCAGGTATATCTGTATGGCTTGGGGCTATAGGAATATAGAAAATGTATTCTGTAGTCATAAATATATAAAGAATGTCTTTATGACCTGGGGCTCAAAATTCGTAAGAAAAGTTAAGATTAGTAGATATTTTTGGGCCAATTTAAAGGTTTGCTCTCTGCAGTTTAAATCTCCCAAGATAGTCAAAACTTATTGATATATAGCTGTTAATATTGCAGATATTAAGACATCTCTAAATTGAACCTGGACAAATTTTAATTATTTTAAGACCAAAGACAGACATCAAGATCTTTGTTTAAGTATATTTGGATATGAGTTTTTTTAAAACAAAGAAAACCATAAACCATTATGTTTACACTACATATAAAAGAGCTTGAACAGTACTATGTTGTATATAAGTCACTTTGACATACAGCTAATGAATATATGTAATCCACTAAAAGTGAATCACCGAAGTAGTTTTTTTTTATTTTGAATATAATTCTTGTTTCCATTTAATGAACATAGATTTTGCTATTCTAGAACACCCCTTTTGATTATTTGTTGGCAGAGTGTTTGCTAAGCCAGGAAGGAACCAAAAGGTCTAGAGACTAATCTTCAGTCTGCTTTATTCTCTTATGCCTGGGATCTACCCTCAATCATATCTCCCCCAAAGCATGAATTATTAAGGAAAGACCTGTCTGAACTCAGTATCACTCCTTCCCCTTTCTTCTTTGCTTTAGCATGTTGTATTTCAGAATGTTTTTAGTTTGTGACTTTGGAGATACCGAAGCAAATACCTGTTATTGAAACCAGATTGCCAGGATTTAGTGAACTGTCAAACCTGAGGTCAAGGGGAGCTGTGACTCCCAGGACGGTAGCAATTTAGTCAGCCCTTTTTTGCTTATGAACCCTCTCTCTTTAACTCCTCTCACCTGATCAGACTGAGGACTCCTTTACTTATGCATGTGCCCAGAATTTCTGGGGATACAATCAGCATCCATCTCTCCCTGGGCTCTCACCTAATCCAGTTTACCATGGCGTGGTGGCAGTAATAGTGTCCAAGGATCCTTGGCCTTGAGATTTCAGTCAAGATCCAGCTAATCAAGTGAAGCAAACATTTTTCATTTACCCTGTTCCCTGAGCTGCTGCTGGTACTGCTGCTTAAAAAAAAAAAAAAAATTGCCGTGCAATTTAAAAATGAAAAATGTTTCATCTCTCATGATCCCAATTTTAAATGGTTAGGAATGTGGGCCAAGAGTTTTCCCAGTGACTCTTGGATTTTTCCCAGTTGTCCTATCTCATTTGCCTCATGCTGGAAAGCAATCTAAGGGATGTCTTTATTATTCCTCCACCCCCACTGACTTGCTCCCACCCTGTTCACCTCTTTTCTTTTCCTTCTAAGATGGAAAGCTATACTCAGCCACAGTGACTGACTTCCTTGCCATTGACGCAGTCATTTACCGGAGTCTTGGAGAAAGCCCTACCCTGCGGACCGTCAAGCACGATTCAAAATGGTTGAAAGGTGAACAAACAATTAAAAGAAGGAGGGTCAGAGGGGAGGGGAATACATATCTTGTGGGAGATCTAGAGTCTGGAGGGACCAGACTGTAGCTTCATTTTAGTAATGACTTCTGACAGACAGAAACATGTAAATTGCATCTTTGGCTTCAACGGATTTATTTACCTCCCTTTTTTCCTTCCCCTGAGTTTCTGGAGTATTAACAAAACTACCAATGCCACAACAATAGAATACATTACATTCATCTTTTCTTGCTTCCAGCTCTCATTTCCGAGTCCTGCATGAAAAGAACTGAACAATGCATTCATGAAAGGGGACAGGGGCTTGGAGGTGGTGGGGAAGAGGAGAAAAGCTATTCACAGCCCTGTATGAGTCAGGGTGACGAGGCAATGTATACAAAATCTTCTCTGTAATAGGGGCATTCCATTGTGGAAAATAAAATTACAGAGATATGCAAAATTCGATAATTCTTCATTGTTGATTGCAAAGCTTCTGAAAGATATAATGTGTAAGTGTGAATGCCTTGTGAAATCACCAGTGCTTGCACGTGTGAAGTCATTAGAAATGGTTAGTGTTAACCAAATGTCTAATGGCCCTACACTTTTAATTAATAACATGTCTTTGGCTACACTTGATTGAAATTCTGTTAACTCTGCATGACATGTTCCCAATTAAAGTGCCTATTTGTCTACAGAACCATACTTTGTTCAAGCTGTGGATTACGGAGATTATATCTACTTCTTCTTCAGGGAAATAGCAGTGGAGTATAACACCATGGGAAAGGTAAGAGGGGATGCTTTCCCTGGCTCACTTTGTAATATTTTCAGAAACCTACACCTTTGGACAAATGTTGTTGTTATCAATGATCTTGAAATGAGAACCATAAATCTAGTAACAGTCTTGGAAGCCCTATCTGCTTTTTCAGAACAGTAACAAATCACAGGAAATTTCTTAAGTATTTCTATTGAAAATTTATGTTTGGTTGGTTTCATGCTGAGATTCAAGTATCTTTTTTTTCTTTTTGAGACGGAGTCTTGCTCAGTTGCCCAGGTAGGATTGCAATGGTACAATCTCGGCTCACTGCAACCTCCGCCTCCCGGGTTCAAGTGATTCTCCTGCCTCAGCCTCCTGAGTAGCTGGGATTACAGGCATGCGCCACCGTGCCCCACTAATTTTTTTTTGTTTTTAGTAGAGACAGGGTTTCACTGTGTTGGCAGGGTGGTCTTGAACCCCTGATCTCAAGTAATTCACCTGCTTCAGCCTCCCAAAATGCTGGGATTACAGGCATGAGCCTCCACACCTGGCCCAAGATTCAAGTGTCTTGAGATGTGATTTCCAGGTAGACTCAACAGTTTTTTGTTTTTTTTTTTTTTCTTAATTGAGTGGCTCCACAGAGACCGTAACTGTCCGGTATCTTTAATCAAATTGAGTCTTGATTTTTGTCTTTATTGCAAAAAGCAATACAACATTTAGGGGATATCCATTTTAAGTTCTTTTTACCAGAGACTAGATCAAGGTCCCTAAGTTGAAGGGTAACATAGAATGCCAGGGTGGCTTGCACAGATTCAGGGCCCAGAGGCAGCTAGTGAGGATGGCAGAGATGGTGCATACAAAGTGTGCTTTTGTTTGAGGAAATAAAAAGCTAAGCAGTCTGTATGGAAATGAGCTTATGTGGCTGGGAGCTGATTCCCTGAAGGATTTATGGCTCTGTATTAAATGCCACAGCCTTATCTTTTAAAACATGCTGCTCCAATGCTGAGTTTTCCTCTTTTTTTCTTTTCTTTTCTTTTTTTTTTTTCCTACTGATTTTAGAAATAGTATTAAATTAAACACCTTGTTATTTTGTTTCTGTTTTCAAGGAATGGAAATTCTACTAAGATCTCCTTGCAAAACGAATGCATTTCATTTTCCCTATGTGTTTTCCCTCTGCAGGTAGTTTTCCCAAGAGTAGCTCAGGTTTGTAAGAATGATATGGGAGGATCTCAAAGAGTCCTGGAGAAACAGTGGACATCGTTCCTGAAAGCGCGCCTGAACTGCTCAGTTCCCGGAGACTCTCATTTTTATTTCAACATTCTCCAGGCAGTTACAGATGTGATTCGTATCAATGGGCGTGATGTTGTCCTGGCAACCTTTTCTACACCTTATAACAGGTAATCATGCCCTAGCTGTGTTGACCTCATCAATTCTTCCTGGCTTCCTTCTCCCAGGGGGTTCTCTTCTAATAAACAATATTTGCAACTGACTGAAAATTGTGTGTAGCTAAAAAGCACTTAACACTTAGTTTTCATCAACAAATTAATAGTAGTTTATAAGCACTATTAAGTTAGGTTTTAGGGGAAGTAATTAGATAAATTATAACAATATCTTCTATTTATATAAGCCTGTTACATAAACACTTTTTATGTGTTATTTGTAAATCTTTCTAGTAATCCTAGAAACTAGATAATATTGTCCTCTTTTTCCACTTAAGGAAACTGAGCTCAACATATTATACTACCTGGTCCAAGTAGTCAGTAGATGGAAGAGGCAGCTTTGGAACTCAAGAATGTTCCTCCTGTCTCTTCTAGGTCATCTAATAATTTGCAGTATTTGACTTTTAATATTCTCATGACTGGATCAGTACCTTTTGAAGTTAAAACACTGGAAATGTATTCAAATGCTACAGGGTAAAATCTAGGATTCAAGTGAGTTATAAAGGACTTTGGTTATTATCCTGTCCAACAAAGTCACCCTTGGGCAAGCTCACTCAGTAAGTTGGGTCACAACCCAGACCCCAACCACAGCACTGGAATCTGACTCTGGAGGGTCCTAGTGATAACGTATAAACCATCAAACATTGTACCTACAAATTATGAGTGTCAGCCTAGTCACTCCTATTTTTGTATTTAGTTAAAACTAAGACTCTGGGCAACTAAATGATGCACTAATAATTGTTCCTAGAGCAGTGAAAATGTGTACAGAACAGAAGGAAGATAAGCATTAGTGTTTTTCCTTAGTACTCATCTCTCTATTAAACCAATGAGATTTCAGAATCCTAGTACTATTGTGTGAAAATGATCCTAACTGTGCATTGTCGTGAAATCTAAATTCATGTGCTGTGTTCTCATTTCTGTGCAGAATTTTGGGTGTTCTGTATTGAGTATCTTCCTCTAGTAATACACTGTTTCGCTTTGAATTAAACTTTTTACAAAGACTTTTAAGAACATGATGAGTGCCTAAATGATAGGCACACAAATGATAAAACTAAAGGATAGCACCTAGAAAGAAATGCTTAAGAACTGAGTAGAGCCCGGAACAGACCAAACTTCATGAAGGATGAAATCATGTTCTTCAATTATACAGCGGATGAGAGTCAAGCTCCCCACTGAAAATAATACGAAAATATGAACCCATATTGCACCAAGAAGTATTCAGTTAGATTTAAGTAAACTTTAAACATCTGTAGGGATTTTCAGACTTGCGGATAACAATGATATTTAAAAATTCAGGCTTCTATTGCTCATACATCAGAACCTGTCTCTCTAGGATTTGGTAAACGTATACTGTCTTGGCACATGGAAATGCAGGGACTAGTGGAATCTAAGAGCAGTTCTAGTTTTCTAGTTTCTGTTTTGTTTTGCCTTGTTTTTTAAGGGTGTGGGTTGCTTTGTGATTACAATATAGTAGTAAGCCCTTAAATATTATAGATAACACCATTTATAGTATTTTCTTAAAAGACCCCTAAGAAGTATCCACTTAGTGCATGCTTATGCAGTCTTGGAAATCATATTTGTTTGATAATCTAACATTCACATAAAAATATGCATACCCATTGTCATGTATAAGTTATAGTCCCTCTGTTTTCACTTTCTCTGGTTTCATCCCTCTCTACTTCATGCTTTACACATGCACACTTGGTCATATCAAATTGTTTCAAATCCATTATTTGCCCTGAGGATAAAGCCCTTGCTCTTTGGCATAACACGCAATCCCCCACAGGGTCTGACCCCATTTCCTCCTCTAGTTCATCCCCTCCCATCCTCTGCTATGCAGCCTGTGCCATGGGCTGATTGGAGCAAAGATCTGCTCCTTGAATGTGCCATGCTTTGCTCACTCTTTGCTTTCTGCAAGATCTGCCCACCTGACCAACATCTGCCCACTGAAACCCTGCGGATGCTTCAAATGTCAGCTAGTCACCTCCTATGTGACCTTGTGCATATTCCTTTTATACTCTGCTCTTACCAGATTGTCCTAAAGATGTTGTTGTTGTTGTGATTTTTGTTATTATTCTTTTTTCTATTTTTTCCTGAGATGGAGTCTCGCTCTGTCACCCAGGCTGGAGTGCAATGAGCCATCCCTGCTCACTGCAACCTCCACCTCCTGGACTCAAGCAATTCTCCTTATTTTTGTCATTATTCTTATACTTGCCTCCACACTGAACTGTGAGCCAACTGAAGGAAAGACCATATGTTGTTTGTGGAGCACTTACTGCCTTAAGTAGGGGTTCCATAAATATATGTTGAATGAATGGAAAATGGGAAGAAAGGAATGATGGAAAATTGAAAGGAATGAAAGGAAGGAAGGAGAGAGGAATGTAAGGAAGGAAAAAAAAAAGGATTTTACAACTGATTCTAACCTCGGGAAGACTACGAAACCCTAGGATATTTTTAGTTATTATGAGATGCATCATAAAAGACTTCAAACAGCATTTATCCTATTTTCCTTAATACATAAGGCAAATACTATATGTAATTGTGTTACTTTCAGAAAAGGAATATGTGACGAGAGTCTTACAAAATTAAATAAATAATGCAAAGGTTCTGAAATTCCAAAACAAATGAGAACCACTGTCTTTTTTTTTTTTTTTCCTTGAGACAGAGTCTCACTCTGTCGCCCAGGCTGGAGTACAGTGGCTCAGTCTTGGCTCACCGCAACCTCCGCTCCCAGGTTCAAGCGATTCTCATGCCTCAGCCTCCTGAGTAGCTGGGATTACAGGCGCCCACCACCAGGCCTGGCTAATTTTTGTATTTTTAGTGAAGATGAGGTTTCACCATGTCAGCCACTCTGCTCTTGAACTCCTGATCTCAAGTTATCTACCCACCTCGGCCTCCCAAAGTGCTGGGATTATAGGCGTGAGCCACTGCACCCGCCCTATCACTGTCTTATACACTTAATTCTGTGAACAACATATACACCTGTATAAATTTATATGTATTTAAAATTTATTCTGCCACCTTATTTTAAATAAGCAGTTTAAGCTTCTCCCTATTTCTTGCTTTATTTAAGCGATTATTATTAAGCAATTATTCAATAATTTTCTTATGAAATTAAAGATGGAATAAATTATCCTAATCATTTATGAAGTTATTTTTATATCTGTTCAACATTTGCAAAATTCAAGACAAAATCATTCTCTGTGGATGATACTCCCTGCCCTGGATGATGTTCCCCCACTGCAGGGCGCCCATGTCTCCTGTCCTGGGTGCTCTGGCCGTGTAATGACCCACTATCTCAAAACCTGATTAAAACTCTTGGCCAGCTGGTGCCTGTAATTTATTTGATCAAAATCATAGAACAACTCTAGTCAAAAACAAATGTGGGTCCAAATGTAAACAGTGTATCCAGATGAACGAATAATTCATTCCTTCCCATCACTGATTAAAAAAAGAAGCCTAAGTCCTTCAAGGGGTGCCAGGCAAGGATATAATTATAGGTGGAGCTGAGGGCCATTTTTATTATTTAGCACTTTATAAAGTACTTTATTTGCAAAGTGATGGCATTTTAGAGACTTAAATTGTTCAGTCTTATGTAAGTAATCAGGAAGGTAAAAATTTAAATGTATAGAGACTAACATAAAATGTGTGTGGGTTTCCCCACAAACACATTCTCACACCCTGAGTTCTTGGCTTGAAAAACCAAATACAAAGAAGCAATATGTGGACATTGGGAGAGCATTTTTGTTTCAAATTTTCACCAATATTAGTGATACAGAATGCTATCCAGAGACTTCAGAGAGGTCATTGATAATTAGTGTCAGGGAATTCATGAAACTTCTATCACTAGCTCAACAATTCTTCCTTTATAAACAAAAGCAGTTCAAGAGGCAATGTAGACATGAAGGGTTTTTTTCCTCTCTGTGAGCTTGCTACAACTAGCCCATTCTTTAAGGCAACTGATGCAAATTTGATTGAGAGAAATATTTTCTTTGTGTACTAAGATCCCTTACATTTATAGTGTCCAAGGTATGAACTTTAAATTTCACTTGCTGTACTAGGAAAGTTTCTCTGGAGTATGTTCCAAACTACATGCATAACCAGTGCGTGAGTAACACTTGATGTGAAATGTCATGTTGTAGCATCCCTGGGTCTGCAGTCTGTGCCTATGACATGCTTGACATTGCCAGTGTTTTTACTGGGAGATTCAAGGAACAGAAGTCTCCCGATTCCACCTGGACACCAGTTCCTGATGAACGAGTTCCTAAGCCCAGGTATGTGCAAATATTCATATGGCTATTTTAAACTTTAGAAATGGCAACGCTTGCACCTCTGATAATGAACATCCTGTGAACTGCACACTAGTGCCTTCCATGCCAGCCAAGCAGATTGCCTTCATCTCATTAACCAAAACCCAAAGTTACCTTCTCATATAGTCAAACCAATGTTCCTCTAGTCTTCTGCTTTAACCTCCAGATATTTATTTATCCAATGTAATACTACAATGGTGGAAACCATTTGAGGCCTTACTGGCTTATAGTTGGGAAAACTGAGGCCCAGAGAGGTAAAGGGTATTGCACAAGTTCAATAGCAGGGGGAATGATTTCCGCTGCTTCTTTATGCTTCCGTTCAATTTTATAGAGACCCATGTCTTCAAACCCAAATAAAATAGGAAACGTAAATAGTGTTTTCTGGATTTTGTGGCCAAGCTGGATCAGAGTTGAGTCTAGGACTCCAGACCGAGGGTGAGAAGAATATAGCGGGTAGAGTGGACCATTAAGATGTCTCTGGTCTGCCAGATTCTGGTCTGTTTTGGGTCCAAATACAGTGCAGTGTCCTCCTCCCCAGATCATACCTTAGAATTGCTTTCATGAGATACTATGGTCCAGAGGCAACCCAGAGACCTATGTTGTCCTATGTAGTCGCTTCCTAAACAGGCTAAGTCATCCTAACTGGGACAGGAGGGAAGTCCCCCCAAGCCCTTTGCCTGCCTCTCTTTGTGGCACACACTCACAGCTCCATTGCAGCATTTGCACTCCAGGTTCCATAGAAACAACCATGGTGTCTGTCCTCCCCCGGAGTTGTATGCCTCTGGAAGGAAGCCCAACATCTTACTAATTTTTTTGTTTTTCAACTCTCTTCCGCAACCTCCAGTCCTCCCCACAACGTACCTGGCCAAGTACACTTACATGAACTAACTTAGGTAATATAAATCAATTATACCCAGAGGAGAAACTTAGTGGTTCATCCATCTTCATTACCTGAATTATCTGGCATGTTGATACTCTGTTACTTATGGAGAGCAAACTAGGTGTGAAAAGCACACCCCAGCAACCTCAGACAGATAGTCTTAAATCATTGCCTGGGATTGTTAACTACCTTCTAGATAAGCAGGATGGGGAGTTAAGCCTGAGGGATTGGGTTTCAGAAAGTTCTTATGTAATACTCCTTGGTGTGTAAAGGTGGTGTCACTCAACCAATACCAGCACATATACTTTAAGTGATTTTCTACTAATGGCAGTGAGTTTGCCCACATACTTCCACATGCCTGCGTCGTCCCTCTTGCAGCAGTCAGGATGCTCCCAGGATGCTGCCTTGGGACAGTGTGGGCATAGGAGTGGTTCATGCTGGTGTCGTGAGGGTCCAGTCTCCTCTCCTGCACCACCCAGGCAAACCAGGTGTCTGGACCAGATGGGCTTCATTGTTTCCCTAATCTGACTTTGCTGGGATGACCCCTGACTCCTGAAACCATAGAATTTCTTGTAGTAGCAAATTTTTACGGTCATCATTCAATGACAAGAAAATGACCTTTCAGGAAAGAATCTGATATAATTGGCTTTTCATACCTGCCAAAATCAAACAAAAATAAAAACAACAATAAGAAACAAAACCCAAATGTTCTCTGAGGGAGCCCCAGGTAATGAAACATGATTACATGGAGTCTTGCTGGCACGTACCCTATTGACTTTTGGAGAGTCTTTGCTTTCTACACTTGCGAAAACGTCAACCTAATTCTCTCCCTCTATAGAGTAAATGCATGAGGAATCTCCAGCAGCCTTTTTGGATAAGTAAAACCATCCGTGAGATACGTGCAAACCACACTCACTCACTTGTTTCAAGCTCCATCACTGTTTACTGAAGTTTGTTTGTGCTTCTGGGAGGAAGCCAGCCTGCCCCCAGCTGAGGCTGAACTGTGCTGGCTGAGGCTCCTCTATGAAATGAGGAGGCGGCTCAGAGGAAATCTCAGCATATTGTGCTTGGTGGCATTCTGCATTGTTTAACTTCCTCCTCTCAGGCTGCAGTACATTCTTCTCCATTCCAGATGCTTAGAGAAGCAGTTCATTCAAAGAATTTGCCATAAGGCACAAAATGAGCTCCCTCCTTCTTCACCCTTTGTTTCATTTTAGGCCAGGTTGCTGTGCTGGCTCATCCTCCTTAGAAAGATATGCAACCTCCAATGAGTTTCCTGATGATACCCTGAACTTCATCAAGACGCACCCACTCATGGATGAGGCAGTGCCCTCCATCTTCAACAGGCCATGGTTCCTGAGAACAATGGTCAGGTGGGTGTCAAGCAAACCGTGTCCTGATGAATTTCCTGACTTCATCTCGTGCTCGGAGAACCGATCGGTGGATCATGCTTTGAAATGCCACAAACATCTTCTGCTATCCTGGGCATTCATTCAGCTGTGGAATGCTGGCCGGTTGGTTGGATGCCACTATCCCCCCATACACACATTCCCAGGGAGAAGAGTTCCAGTATTTTCAGGCTAGTTGGACACATGCCAGCAATTAGAGGAAGGAAATACCTTTCCTTCTGGATTAGCCCATTGATCCAATCTGTGCAAAAATAGAGCAGCAGTGAAGGAGAACCAGTGAATGGATGTGGATACCTGATTGGTTGGAAATGATTACAAAACTCGCAGCAGATTCCACCTGAGCATGGCTCATGGATTGTTCACTGTCACACAGAGCACAGACACCACATTCGCCAGTGTGAAGGATTCATGGTTTAGTATTCTTTTTCTGAACTGGTGGCCAACAGCGAAGGGACAGCCAATTAGAGATCTGTGATTGCATTAAAAAAACTCTTCCTAGTATTTATTCAGAGCTTATTTCCAAACAGTTCAACAGGCTTTCCCAAGTACCATCCCACTGTGGTAGTCATCAAACAAAATGTTAATTAACTTTACCACTATTTTTATACTCTGACTTTATTAAAATATAGTAAAGCACTGTAATAGCTCTGGCACATAAAATGGAAACCATGGTATATAACTTGCAGGAGGGTCTGTTTTCTGGTTCTAGCTATGGTGCTTAGGACAACTGGGTCCCCATAGAATGTCGAATGTTCAAGAGATTTCAGAGAAAGCAAATTGCTGGTAGGACTTATCCTAGGTATGCCCTTCACCTGTAGCTTTAAATGGATATTGTTTGGCTTGCAGGTCCCTGCAGTTTTTAGCAGTGCCATTAGCACCCTACCTCCTCATCCTTGAGAAGTCTCCCAGCCCCTCTACATACAACTGGAAAGCTTTCCAATCAAACATTTTGTCGATGAAGGCTTTGTACCTCAGAGGAAGAGTATGGAGAAATGGTAGTCATTGCTTTTCAATGTTAAATTAAAGGTTAAATGAATTTATTACTTCTTACCTTCATCATAGGAGACATTAGTCTTTCCTTGTCGTTCATGGAAGGGATTATTGCTAAGTGGTTTCAGGTGGTTTTGGCTATCTATTATGGGACTTGGCCCAGAAACACACACACACATACACACACACACACATTCACACCTCCTTCCTCCCCTTTGGAGCCATACTAATGCTCTGCAAATGGAAATAAAGGGCCAGAACCACTTGAGAACATTATTTATATGCATACATTTTTCTTGAGGTTATTACTAGAAAGCTATGGCACAGCTGTTTGAAGTGGAACAGGGAACACTTTAATGATAGACCAACAAAGAGATAAAAAATGTGGTCCTGTCATTTTAGATACCGCCTGACCAAAATTGCAGTGGACACGGCTGCTGGGCCGTATCAGAATCACACTGTGGTTTTTCTGGGATCAGAGAAGGGAATCATCTTGAAGTTTTTGGCCAGGATAGGAAACAGTGGTTTTCTAAATGACAGCCTTTTCCTGGAGGAGATGAGCGTTTACAACCCTGAAAAGTAAGTAGAATATTTGGTTCTTCCTTAGTTATTATTTGTTATGCTATTATGGTCCCTTTCATTCAGAGAAAATCATGGCCGACTTAGGTTTTATGCATTTTTAGATGACTTTTTAATGCTGTTTGTAAAAATTTTTTAACATCTAAAAAGCATTATTTTCTCCTTGCCAGTGTATGTGTGTGTGTGTGTTTATATAGATACATACATATGTGTGTGTCTACATGTGTGCATGAGCATAAGGATTTGTTTGTTTCACTGCCAATTAGATCAGATTAAGAGATTGCCTTGTGGGCTGGGAAGTGGGATGTGAGGGTGGTGCTGAGAAAAAGAGAAGAGTCTATTAATGATATTATCTTGCCTGATGAAATTAGATGCAGCTATGATGGAGTCGAAGACAAAAGGATCATGGGCATGCAGCTGGACAGAGCAAGCAGCTCTCTGTATGTTGCATTCTCTACCTGTGTGATAAAGGTTCCCCTTGGCCGGTGTGAACGACATGGGAAGTGTAAAAAGTATGTATTTTGCCTCACTGACAATTAGAAAGTCCGTGGTGGCTAGGAAACAGTCCTAGGTAGCTCATGGTCATCCTCTTCCTGCAGAACCTGTATTGCCTCCAGAGACCCGTATTGTGGGTGGATAAAGGAAGGTGGTGCCTGTACCCATTTATCACCCAATAGCAGGTAAGGAGCCTGAGGAGTGGGAGAGGGTACAGGGGCTTCCAGCCAAGGTGTATTCTAGATGTAAGATTTGCTCTGCTGTCACACTCCACCACACAGCTTTCCGTGCACAAACACCAGCAACGGGACTGTCAGCCTTTCTCCTTCCCTTTCCCATTTCATGGAGCCTCACCACATCACATGTGGCAGATTTCCAATTGATTAATCATCCTCAGACTGATTAAAAACACAGAATGGAAACACAGTGGGCTTCAATGTATTCCCTAGAGAGAGAGACAAGAAGGTGCCTGCCTTGATCATCATGGTGGGAGAAAAGCAGAGAAAAGGAGCAATAGGATACCAATTAGATTAGTGAGTGCTTTGTTCAGCCATAGCAAAACTGGCTCTTGTAATTGACTGTGCAGGGCTGAGAAGAAATTGCAGAACATTTGTTAAGCAATGCAATTGTACTGCAAGCATGGTGTATACATCCAATAAACCTTTTCCTGCGCTGAAGAGCGGTTGACCCTGTTACTCTTTAGGCAGTCAATCAATTCTTGGCAGTTCTCCAACAGATCAGCTAGATGAGGCCAGTCCACCATGCCTGTGATTTGGGTGTTTAAAATTGTTACCCTGGCTTTAAATGCTTAGATGACATTGACTAAGAGGTTTCTTTTTATGCTTTTACTTCAGTGGATGTGAAATCCAAAATACATTTGCAAAAGTATTCAATGTTTATCTTTGATGGGTTGTGGCAAGCAATTTAGGAGGTTAGACAGCACACATCTTCCTTCAACACAGCCATTTCTGCAACCTCCCCAGATCCAAAGGGGAAACAGAACCATCTTTACATCACTCTGTGCCTCCTTTCCTATTTCAGAATAGCTAAACAAACAGACCAAGGGCATATCTGATGACCACCACCTGCATAATTTGAGGACAAGTATTCTCATAAACAGAGCTGATGATACCTATAAAATCTGACCTGGAAATTTGACTAATGCAAAAGTCTGAGTCACTGTGTATTATTAGAACAGCTTTGCAAGTAGCATTATTGACATGCTGTAATATTAGAGGTTTGTACCTTTTCATTGGACCCCTCAAGGTGGAGGACAAAGGTTCACCAAGCATGGTGAGGGGAGCTATGAAATGACCTTTGTCCTTTCTGTGTTCAACATGTGACCAAAGGCTATAAGACTGATATTTTAAAAATTATTTTTAAGTCAATATAAGAACTCCAAAATGGTTTGCTTAAGGTTTGCATTCATATTTCAATGATGCTGGTATTGCTCAAAACATGGGGCACGCCCTTTAGAGAGTGGGCTCCAGGGCATCATGAGTATTGGCTGTCATTACCACTAGAAATCTTCATCTTTTGAGGGATTTGATTTTTAATGTGGCAAAAAAGATTAGAAACAAAACATGGTGGATTATGAGATCAAGCTGTGACTTTCAAAATAGTTTTCCTATATTTCCTATATGGCTCGTAAATAAGCTCTGAAAGCAGTTGCAAAATAAGAGTTTCAATTATATTATGGGAATATGTACAAAGTGCCCCCAAAGGAAGGTGACTCTGGTGTGCTTATTTTAAAAATCAAAATAGCTTTTATTAAAATTGGTTTTCTTAATGTCGTCACTTGTACAGCCCAGTGGTGACCTAGTAGACTTGGAAGAAACATGAGCCTGTCAAAGAGAATGACAGTAATACTCCCAAGGACTGGGGCAGGGCTGGGGGTAAACAAATAGCCAAGTGGTCTCCACAAAATGCACCACCGGCTCCTGTCCCCTCTCTAGCCACTTGGACCTTTGAACACTTTTGGCTAGATAAATGTCTAGGCAAAAAAACCTTGCCTAGGAAGGCAAGGGTAGGAGTGAAAGAGTAGAGAGAAAAAGACTTTTCTTTTTAATTTATAGACTTCTATATTGTTTCTATGAAGAGTGTATTTTAACATCTAAACTTCTTAAATGTTTAAGAAATGCTCAGAGAATTAGAGTAAAGAAGGATATAAATAATCTGCAAGCTTATTATCTCCCTGAATAATATCTGAATTCACTGCTTAAACCATGGCTTCTCTTTGGAGAGTCACCTAAGACTTTCTATAACTTCAGAGATATAAACTTCAGAGATAAATATTCAAGCTGTTAACTATTTCTTTTTTGCACCTGCCACTCATCAAACTGTGTTACTGTCTTTAGTGAAACTTAAGACTCATTTCTGAAGACTCACGTTATTGTATTCGTTTCTGTCTCTCTTTCCCTTCCTTTTTTAAAAGACTGACTTTTGAGCAGGACATAGAGCGTGGCAATACAGATGGTCTGGGGGACTGTCACAGTAAGTACAGTCTTTTATCCATTTTTATCTTTGGGCAAAGATGCTTTCAGTGAACGGCCTAGATACATCAGCTCACATGTGGATCTGAGTGTAGCAGACATTAAAGCATGCATAAATGACAGAAATCATCTTCTAAATATCAAGTAAAGAAAGCACTGTGTTCTAAAGCCAGTGTTGTCAATGTTGTCACTATAAATGCTGGCACCTATTTCATTAATTCTAATGCAGGGGAACAAATTCACTCTAGAGGATATTAATTGTAGCAAAGCAGTAAGTTAAATCAGCATTTCCATTACAAAATGACAGTTTTGCTGTTTTTAAAAACGTGCTTTTATACTGTCATTTTTAGCCGAATAATAAAAAGATTGATCATTGTACTCTAGTTTTTTAATTGAGTGGGCCTGTTTTATTCTTGAACATATCGACTAACAAAAGTAATTATGTTTTTAAATTAGATTTGTGTCTGTTACCATATATGATACGAAAAAAATTTCAGAAATAACCCACAAGTACAAGGCAATTAAAAATAACCTTTTTATAGGAATTGGCCTACTATGTAAATCTCAGCGTTCATTATTAACTGGTAACATTTTAGTTAGAACTTTATATAAAGGCTCTGGCTCAAATTTCTGCCCAGTTGTCATGTGACCTGATTAATATCAATATTCTCCTGAAAATGCTTTATTAATGCTAATTTAAAGAATAATACCATACTCTTGGAAAATATGTTTAGTTTGTGCTGTTTCAAATGTTACATATGCTGAATTTTAAGAAGCTTGCATTCAAAATGGCAGCAAATAATAGCTCCCAAGGGAATGAAGTTATATTATCCTGATATTTGATAATATAATGAAAATCATGGATATAATTCTAATCTTTCAGTCATGAGTACTGAAATTTCAGACTCTAACGTGTCATTCAACTTTCTACCTTACCTTTTTTAGAGATTAGTTATAATCAAATAAAGAGGGCTAAAGGCAGCCTTATCTCCAAATCTTTGCCATATACATTTTTTCATTTACAAATATTATATATTGGCAAAAAATTCTAACTTATTATGTCTTTTCACACAAAATTGATGAGTTAATAAATAAGCATAGGAGAAGTGTCATCACCTAAAGATGTATGTTACGTGTGTGCATTCATCTGTATCAGGGAAATAGTTTGATGTTTGATCAGTTGACCTTAATCATCTTGGTGCATTATAGCTTTATTTGCAAGGAAACAGGTTTTAAGATGTGTGTGTGTGTGTGCGTGTGTGTGTGTGTGTGTGTGTGTTTTATTAACAGCTTAGTTAACTGATGTTAATGAACCATTTTCATCATATTTATATTACTTGTGATAGTGGTGTCTGTAGAAAAATAGGGGTGTAGATTTGGATCAAATCAGAAAATACGTGAAACATGTAAAGATGGTTGTTACTTTGTCTATAAAATGCCCACTGTCCCAGTAGGCTCACACCCTTATCTGCGTTCTCAGGCAGAAGAACCTAAGGAAACCTCTGTATGTAGCATAGGAGAAGCTCTCAGGTCCCAACCCCGTGATTTACAGTTTATTTCCAGAGTAATCTTAGTGGTCAAGCCCCTGGATCTGCCTTCGTGCTTTGTAGTGTGTCCTTGACCTTTAACCTCACTCTTGCTGAGGCACATAGGGTGCTTGCTCAGGGCAGGAGTCAGGCTGCCCCTCTGCCTCCCTGCCTTTCCTCATGGCTTCTCCTCTCCCCATGTTCCTGCTGGAGCATGAACTACCTCTATTAGACAGTCCTATCCCCACACAGGTATTCAGGGAGGATTTCTCTAACTGGTGCAGTCATCATAACTGGTACAAAATTAACAGGATGTTAAAGGGAAATGAGGAAATCACAGCAGCCAGTGTTAGAGGCTGAGTGAACCAGAGATCTGACCCCAACACACAGCACACACCCAGATATATTGCCTAATATGTGTAAGGGTTTGTTTTTTAACTTCCAAACTAAAACTCCTGATGATTTCAGAACACTGTAACACTGGACAGTTTCTCACAGCGTGGTTGTGAGGATGAAGTAAAAAGAGAATGTAAAAAAAAAATGTTTTCTTTGTAAGTGTGATCCAGGTATCACTTATGCACATGCATGTCCCTCTGTATAAAGAAGGGTTTAAACTCTCGAAGTCACCTATAATTGCGGTTACCATTTCGTTTGCCAACTCTTGCATTTTCTCTGCCTCTTGGCAAAGGGAGGGACTTGGAGGAAATTCACTTGGTGGAAGAGATATGGAGGTGTGAAATTGGACTGAGTATAAAGCATTTTACATTACACGCAGGAATTAAAAAGCACTTACTTAGTATCGGGGACCATACGTACGTCGGCATAGTTCTGTGTTAGCTCATTCCCACTTATGTAAGTCGCACTAAGCAGAGTGTAAAACATTAAGTAACCTTCTCCTCCCTTCTGTCTTTCAGATTCCTTTGTGGCACTGAATGGTAAGGAAGATATTACTCTCATAATTTCATACTGGTGGAAACCTATCTGAGAATTTCTATTTCATTAATCCCCTTGAGTATGTTCAAATCTTAAGTTTCTTTTTAATTAATTTTTTATCCTCATTATTTTTTTATAGACATTTCAACTCCTCTACCAGATCATGAAATGTCTTACAACACAGTGTATGGTCAGTTTACAGATTTTTTTTTTTTTTCAATTTGTTAAGTCATTCATCTGGCAGTAGTTTATAGTTTTCATTCCTAAACATCATGGACCAGATTCTTTGTTACTTAAGGGCCCCAATTCACTAAAATTATTTATTAATTTCACCATCCTTCAAAAATCACTCTGCCTATGTGAGACAATTGATGTGGGAGACTGAGTCCTAAATTTTTAATCCAGATAACATGAAATATGCCAACCTTAGGAAATTTGGTGAATACATTTAATGAGTTCTTGAGGGAGAAGAAATTGCTTTCGAACATAAGTATATCCAAGACAAAGGAATAGTGCTGATAACTAATAGACTATAGCTCTTCAGCTGATACAGCGCACCATCCCCCAAAATGCTGGCACTCAAGACAGTACCCTCTGCTAGCGAAAATCTATGCAGGACACACAGGTTAGGCTCCTATTAGACAAAACTTTCCAATATAGTATGAAATTGACCCTTGAAATTTAAGTTCAAAAAGAGTATGAATATTTAGACATGTTTTCAGTGCGATTTCTTCAGAATGTAGACAAGGAAGAGTGACGCAGTGGAAATGATGTGCAAACAGGATTTATCTCATTGTTCTTGGTCTGAAATACACAATCACTATATTAAACAAAGCTACTAAGCCCATAAACAGAATATTCTGAACTCTTTATGTAAGAAGTTGAAATGTAGCTGTTCCACTTACATTTCTCAAGGTACCCCCAAATATTTATTAGGGTAAACTATCCATGTGTTTTTTTAAAAAAAATATGGTATGAAAAGCATCTGTGTGATGGCAGATTTAAGCCTCTGCATTATAATGGAAGCTGCGGGTTTCATGTATACACAGCCATTTTATAGTTTGTGTGTTTAAGATAAATAATCAAGCAACAGATCCAGGACAGTCTTTAGGTACAGAAGTAGGTAAATAAGGGAAGGAGAAAAATAAATTTTAAAAAAGGGAAAAGAAAAGATACAAAGGGGAAGGAAAAGAAAGCAATGCTGATTTATGATCCAAAAAAATAGTTCATGATGGCTACAAATGTGTTTAATAGCTCCTTGTAAACTCTCACTCCCTGTGTCAAATTAGCATACATAAAAAGGCTTTTTGAATATCTTAAAGACTGGCTTATACCCTGGAACTGTTTAGGTATGGAAAACATTGCCTGCTTTCTCCTGACTGGCCCCTTTGTGAAGTAAGGCAGTGTGGAGTAGATGAGCCCACAGAATTCATCCACCTTTAATGTTCCCTCATCTATGACTGAAACCAGAATATTGAACACCAAAGACTAGAAGAAAAATTGCTCAGGAGGCAAATGTCGTCTAGCTTAGACTGCCTTGAGAAAAAAAACGCACTTTGTATCTGCTCTTTTCCAACATGATACTTTGCGATCATTTCCTGTAATTGAATAGTCTTTATCAGATATTGAGAAATTAAGATCTTGAAACAAATTGAACCAGCAACCTGCCCAGCATTCATCAGTCATACTAAGACCAATTTTAACTCCCAGGTAATTTCTTAAATAGACAGAATAATTAAACTATGGGATACTCTTATGAACAAAAATCACTCCCAAGCTATGTTCTCTCTTATTTCCTTTACAAAAGGAAAGGTACTTATTAATGCTTCCGTATTAACACTTTAAGGGATGATGCTCATTCATTTTCAGGTCTTGGGGGGAGGCAACTAAAGAAGAGCTGGAACTTTCCTTTCAGCTAATGATCCTATCCATTTCAGGCTAAATCTATTCAGTGTGAAGCAGTTCAATGATTAATTGACCATCAAAATGAGGACTGGTTCAGACAGTACTTACAAAAATGTTGGCAACTTTTAAAAATAAACCATTGTAAGGGATGTTAATTTTGGAATTAATAAACCCAGAATAGATTTCACTAATTCATTCAGCAAAAACTTGTTGAGTGGCTACTGTGTCCTAGGCACTGTACTGGGCGCTATATTTGTAGCACCAAAAGAAGAAATAAATTGCTATTTTTATGAGCATGGATATAGACAAGGAAGCCAACTCCAAAGTAAAAAGTGCACCCACACTGTTTCTAGCTGTGTCCTCTGCATGTCCTGCACTCTGTGGCTGAGTGTAGGCTCACAGAGCCAACTACAAAACCAGAACTGCCCAACCTAGGAAAAGGGATCATTTCAATAAATGATGCAGACTTTCTGCTTGTCAAAAGCTCTGTGCCACACCAGTTACATATGCAAGAACCCCTTTTAGTGAATTGGGCCCTGATTATTTTCCTTCTCTCTTCCTCTCTTGTATTGATTTAATGTCTCTGTTTTTTGTCTAATTGTCTACAAACATTGTTAATAGGTTAGAGTAGTATGAAGAGGGTCTAACCTCTGGAATTACAATGACTTGTAGATATAGAGAAACAACATGATGCATTAAAGTTAACTTTCAAAATATACCTATTTATTTGTATTTTATGAGAATGATAAAGTATAACCTCAATTGATTAAAATGTGACCTTTCTTATTGGACTGACAAAACAAAAATATAGATTCCAAATCTATTGACATATGATATCACATCCACAAATGTTTGCCTATTTTTGTAGGATGATTTTGGTTGCAAAGTCTCTTAGGGAATGCACAAAAATAATACAACCTTAAAAATCAGACTAGAAAGAAGGAATATAAGTGGTTTCCTTGTAATATTTTTTTAAGCGTGGAGAGGTAATAACACATCTTTGAATTCAGACTGAGGACTACTGCTTAATGGTGCTTTTATAGGGTGGTTCTAAAATTTTTGAGAATCATGTATTGCTTTCTCTGACTGTTTAATTCACCACTGGCACGTGTTTCGTATCCTCAAGCATAAGTTTAAAAGATTACAAACCTCATGATGCTCAGTTTTTTCTTTCGAGTAAATCAGATGCATGGTTTCTCTAGATTTACATATAGAAAATCGAGATGTGGTGGGTATTAGACTAACACTTCAGTGATAGGAAGAAGAGACTGATTTCTCACATTTGTGTAAAACACTTTCCTACCTAACTACCATCTGGTCCACATTAATATCCTCTCATAGCCATAGCTTTCCATTACCAATGAGTTTTCCGTGTATTCGCAGCATATGGGCCAGGAAATCTTTCTACAGAGAATGTGTCCCTTAGGCATATATTTCCCCTAGATTACCGTATTAAGAAATGTTCTCCCTAAACCATACTTATGGCATTACCATAAAATTGCCCCTTGAACACAGTTAAATTGAAAGTGCTCAAAATGCATATCAATTCAGGTAAAAGAAATCTTGCTACTTGGAGGGGAGGTATTTTTTTTTTCTTCCTCACTTTCTCTTTCTAACTCCCTACAAGCTATTTCTAATTGTTTGCTTACTGGGCACTGAATTTTCTCTTAGACTGACCATATTAGACTATTAGAGTAGTCTTGAATTCAAGAGTGGAAAAAAAAAAGTTATGTTTTAGACCTCAATGTAAGCTGAAAGGAAATAAAGGAACTTCTATATTTCCATTTCTCAGGCTGATTTTCCTGCCCCTGTTCTCTTATCTGTATCATGACATGAGATGTGAAACTCAGAAATGTAAAAACACAAAGTCTAGAATAAAGCATTCCTTTAATTTTAAATGAACATGCTTTTAGCAGCTGGATACGATGCAGACTATTTTCAACGAATTGAATGTTTGAAGTTGTGTGAGAGCCAAACAAGTGCCATACAGAAAGGGACCTCTTCAATGTTACCAAAGCTTTGCGGCAGGATTTAAGTGTGGTGGCTCTGTAGAAGTCACTATGGCATGGACGAGCCACTTGGCTTCCTTTTTCCTGCTACGCAAAGTTTTAAGAAGATAAAAAGCTATCTTTGTTATATATGTTTTGTCTGTAATTTGCAATATTACAGTCTCCGGGGGGGAGGAAATCCAACTTCCAATAATAATTGTGAAAAAAAAAAAGAAGAATGCACTGTGCTTATTCTTATAATCTGTCTTTCTAGAGGCCAGTATTTTATTTATCATGTGCATGGTGATCATACTTCAAGGCTGGAGCTTTTGGAGTTGTTGTGAGTCTGCCCTACTTTCCACCAAAGGCACCGATTATACATGCACAGTAGTTGCCCTTATATCTTTTAAAAATTGTTCAAGAGGTTGCTCTATGTAAGCCAAAAACTCCAGTTGAAAATCACAAGGAGGTCATATTTTATTTCTGCCAGAGAGAACAGGTAGTAGAGCTTCTTTAAATCATTGTGTCAGCTTGGATCAAAGCACCTGATACAATCTGTATTTAACCTTGTGGAATGATGGAGGGAGAGCTTACGAACGAATTCACAGGAAATGGCTAGAGTTTCTGCTGTAACTCTCAACCCAGCCATTCTTCTCGTATTATCCTATGGTAGCTTATCTGAACCTCAGAAAACTATCCTTTTCTAATTTGAATCATTTTAGTCAATGCAGCCTCAAAAACGGAAACTATTTTTATTGAAATAAGACACAAAAGGGACAGCCATAATAGTGTGTAGCAGTTGAATGGGAATAGATCCCTTTGCAAAGCAATAACTACTCTCAGAAAGAGGAATGCCTGTGAAGTTGAGCTGAACCTGAAGACCAGGCACACTGTAGAACCTCCATAGGAAGGGTGCAGAGTCACTGAGTTACTTGTGACAGGGACAAGACTTACCCACTACCAGAAACCTGCCCCATCAGTCACAAACAGGATTCCTGGAGTGGCCACTTTCTGTGTTTAGTCCTGCCACGAAAATATCAGAGAAGGACACTGGCCTTTCTTGAGCACCTACTATGTGTCAGACACTATGCAAGATGCTTTCACCATTATGTCCCTATCCTCCCAACACTGAGAGGTGTCTTTATCCCCACTGGGTGCACAGGAAGAGGTTAAGTGATTCCCCAAGGCCCACCCAGCAAGTGTCAGAGATAGGATCTGACCCTTCATTTTCTAACTACAAGTTCAAGGGCTTTCTGCTGAACACACCCCACACCACCACCACCACTAAACCGTGTCGTTTCTAGGGCGGTCTCCTCTCAGTCTTACAGCCAGCTTGGGTGTCCCACCTCCAGGCCTCTGAGCAAAGGGAATGTGGGTCTCTCCGATGTTGTTTTCCTAACTGTATTTGTGATGAAAACAGGGCACTCCAGTTCCCTCTTGCCCAGCACAACCACATCAGATTCGACGGCTCAAGAGGGGTATGAGTCTAGGGGAGGAATGCTGGACTGGAAGCATCTGCTTGACTCACCTGACAGCACAGACCCTTTGGGGGCAGTGTCTTCCCATAATCACCAAGACAAGAAGGGTAAGGCCTTGGAAATGCCTCTTCCTCTCGGGGGAGAGGGAGGGAAAAGTGGGGAGGACTGTGTAACTGCTTCCAGCTGAATTTTAGCAGCATTTAAGGAACCTCCAATGCGCTATGATTGAAAGTTTCTCGAAAAAGACTGCAACCCCATCCTCTATGTGAAGCTTGATCCTAAATTATTCTCTGACCAAGGAAAACCACACAAAACAAATAATATATCCTCTGAGCTTCCTCTACCCAAAAAAGATGTGGCTTGGCCCAAAGCAGATGCTGGCTTCTGACATCCCTTGCCATTCCTCTTAGTCTCATTCTGAGATTTTTGGACCCTCTTTTCCCACCATAATGTGATGGAATGCGGTTCGGGCTTTGGCAAGTGAATGCAATTGAAGTAAAGGCCCTGTTAATCAGTGAATTGAGAAATAGCAGGGCAAAGTCTTTTCTGGCTGGTAGCATCTCTCACTCTTGCATGGTGCTGAATTTGAATAGAGCCATGGTCCTCAGACGTACTGCAATTGCTCTTAGAGGACAGTAGCTAAGACAAAAATATGTTATTTAATCAAGCAGAATTGCTATGCATTTAAAACGGAAAGGAAGCCACACTAAATGAAAGGGACTCTACTGTGAACTGTCCTAAATTCTCCTTTGCTTTCTTTGCTTAGCTGCAGACAGGAAATGTCATCTCTTTTCTTGCCATTTGCTGCTTCTGGTAACACATCCTACTTTAGTTGCAGCTGCAACCAAAGAGGCCTTTACTTGTCCAAAAAACAGTCTTGTAAATCAGAGACTGAAAAGCCCAGTTATGTTGCTGAGCTGGTTCCCCCCATTCAGAATTGTTTACTTCTATATGTTTTCAAGAGTTTCATCCAAGCGGGAGTTTGAGTTTCGAGGGCAGAGCAGCCACCGTGACCCTTGGAAGATAGTCGCTATCGCGCCCTCCCCCAGAGGGTTCTGCATACATATCTCCATCTTCACTTTTAGACAATGCTTTGTGGTCAGACTCTCAGGCTACATTTTCATCTCCTTTTTTGCTTCTCATCTCCTGAGAGTGCTGGGCGCTCTGCTTACTCTATTTGCCAAGTCAAAATGTAAAGATGGAGCCCCTTTTGTCTTGTTCTTGAGCATGTCCTCTTAACTGATTTTATTTTCTTCTGTAGAGCTCCCCTTCCCCTTAGTAATACGCCCTGCCTCAAATCTTTGTTTTTTTGTTCGTTTGTTTTTGTTTTTGTTTTTTTGAGATGGAATCTCACTCTGTTGCCTACACTGGAGTGCAGTGGCACGATCTCAGCTCACTGCAACCTCTGCTCCCCAGGTTCAAGAGATTCTCTCTGCCTGAGCTTCCCAAGTAGCTGGGATTAGAGGTGCCCGCCACCATGCCTGGCTAATTTTTGTATTTTTTTTTTTTAGTAGTGACAGGGCTTTGCCATGCTGGCCAGGCTGGTCTTAAACTCCTGATCTCAGGTGATCTGCCCGCCTCAGCTTCCCAAAGTGCTGGGATTACAGATTTGAGCTGCTGCTCCCGGCCAACTCTTTTTTTTTTTTTTTTTTTAAAGCTGGTTTTGTCTCATCAGCTTCTTTCAGTCTGAGGGATTCCCTGCTCTTTCCATCCTGAGAAAGCTCCAGATAGAAGAGAAACTGTCCCGACAGATTACAAACCTTAGCATATGCCATTATTCGTTATGTGTGGCTCCTGACCTCAGATGTGCTAGTCCTGTGTTCTCAAGAAGAGAAAACTTAGTAGAAATCACTTTGTTTTTGCCCACTGCGATTTTCTGAAACAAAATAAAACAAACAGCCTTTCCAATAAAGCATTAAATATGCCAACTAAATATCTAGCTGTTGGTTGCAGTAATTTTCTTTTCACTTCACTGAGAGGGGTAGCATGAATTTTCTGTAATCGTTAACTCCCCCCAAGGAATCGAGGTTCTCAAAGAGTCCAATTAACACTTTGACAGATCATTTTAAAATTCGGCATTGTTCATTCTCTTGGGTCTTATTATATTGACAAAGCTGGAAGCAGTCTACATATTGTCAAACAATGGTGGCAGAGGTGATTGCATGGGTGTTTAACATGATCACTGTTCTTGTGCTAGTAACTCCTTGCCTTGCCCTGTCAGATTTGAGTTTGTTTTTTACCATTGGTTGTATGTTTGATGGGGCAATGCCAATGAGTTGTGCAGAAATTTTAAACAAAAGATGTAGCTTAATGTTCCTTTTATCATAGTTTTTATGATTTTAATTTCCATTTTGTTCCAAATTGTTTTTTGTTTAATGTTCATGATTTATTTTCAACTTTTGTTTCGTTTTGCCAAGCACTGTGTGGTATGACTTGGTGATGGCGTTACTGCGTTGGAAAAGTCTTGTTCCTTTTCTGACTCATCATGGTGTCCCTTAACTTGAACCAATCTGTGATGCCCTCGCTTCTTTTCATTCCCTGATGTCGGTGCCTTAATGATGTCACATCCGTGTATGCAGCATCTCCCGGGATGCAAGAGTTTCATGGGTTTTCTAAGGGCCTGTGATGGGTGCTCTTTCTACTGGGTCGATTGTCTCATGAGAATGTGACATTTGTGTGCCCCAGCTTTAGGAGCTAAATATACTCTGGAATTGTTTCTAAAATCCATCACATTTCCCCACTAAGCAGAAAATGTGTCCACTGACCAGCTCGCTGAGGAGTCAAGTGCCCATTGCCCATTTTATTATGGCCACTGGTAAAAAGGCCAGTGAGCAAGGCATGCCCATGGCTCTCCTCTGCAGATATGCTGACTGCCAGTGAGCTGGTCCCATTCTTTGTCCACTTCATCCTCCAAACAATTCTCCATTTCCAGAGTATGTTTGCTGCGTTTTTCTTTCTTTTCCTTGCTATGTCTTTCGTCTTGATTTAATCCTGTGCGTCCCTCACATTCTGTCGAAACACCCTTCCTCACCTTGCAGCCTAACCCCCTTCTGCTACCATTGTTCTTAGCCTCCCCCTTTCAAAATAACAGACCCAAGCCCTCTGCCCCTCTGTGGAATGTTCCAAGGCTCTTTCCTTCTACACTGTGAGTAGCATTCTGATGCTGTATGTCTATACAGTCATACTAACAAAGCGTGAGAAGAGACCTGCACAGCACGCGGAAGCATTATCATAGAAAATGAAGTAATTTTCTCTCTCAGTAACTGGCCTTGCCCTTCATTACCCTACTGGCCTTGTCTAATGTCTCTTGTCCTTGCTGCTTTTCTTTAAAATTGCCTGATATCTTTCAAGCCCTGGATTCATTAGTGAAAACACAGCCAACTGCTCTGTTTTATCTCTGGGTCCCTAGATGTCTGGAGCCTCCGGAGCGAGCCCTTTAGTCACCAAGCTGATAAATGAGATGTAGCCCTGACTACTACTTTCTTGGTTCTGCCACATTAAAAAATACATATTATTTATTCCTCCTATAACTATTGAGGTGGTAATAGGTAGTTACAAAGGGGCTGTAATTACATATAAGTAAGAAAGAAAACCCAGTTTATTTTTAGATCTGGCTTATTCCCCACCACTGCTTCCCACATCAAAAGAAATAAGAGCTTTCGTTTTTAGGTTAAACAATACTGAGAACAAATAGCCACCCTTGTGCCTCTTATTCCTTACCAAAAGTAACAATACTTTAAAGCCGATTTCCAAGAAGTCTGTGAGATATGCAAGGAAGTTAGCCATGTCCAGAGCAGCCAAGAGAGCTATGTAGCATACATATAAAATGTAAATGCTGACCGCTGCTATGAGGACACAAGAATATATCCTGAACAGAATAAAAATCTCCTACTTCAGACTTTATTTTATAATAAAGAGTTATTGTGAGCTCTCAGAAAACGGACAAAATAGTAAATATAGAGCAGTTCCCATTTAATCAGAAATGCCAGAGTTGTAGTATGCTTCTATCTTTTGGGAAATCCTTAAAGTGAGATATTATCACATTATTACATTTAGTCCAGAAAATATGCCCATTACAGACAAGAATAAGATATATTATAGAAACAGAATTTAAATTAGAGGTTAAGTGAATAACCTAAAATGGATAGTAAATGTTGAATATATTTTAATCAATGTACAAGCTATTTGTGTAAGCAGTTTTTAGTTTGGGAAATAATATTCCGGTAAGATTCATAAGATGTATAAATATGATTAGTATTGTCCACATCTCACAATCCTAAATGAAATTTTATAAATCACAGAGGTTATCAATAATTCTCTTTATAGTTAATTATTTATTCTTTAAATGTGCAGTAGCCTACAGCAGTATTGCCTCTGAGGGAGATGAGCAGCACCTTACACGGGATGATTTACGTGGCAGGGATGTGATGGCCTTCAAGAGTATTGAGTCATGTGGTGGAAATTTATGCCCTTTTCATTGCTCTTTCAGTCTTCTGCATTATCTTCTTGACTATGTGAAAGGAAAAGTCTCAGTTTGGTGTTTTCTCATTAACAACTCCCTAAACTTGCTACTCTCTCTTTTTGACAAAGAGGGAATAGGGTTTGCACTGGGGCTTTGTCTTCCAGCTGCACCTAGCTGGAATTAACATTGTTTGGCTTTAAGTTAATTTTTATTTTTCTGGTTACATTTTATCTTTGAAAAGTGACACTTTTTTTTCATTTGTGATAATGATACCAAGTTTCCCTTTGAAATACATTTTAAAGGTAATTTAAATAGAAAAGTAAATAATGCAGGAGTTATGAGGGATATAAAAATACTAAGTAAATAATATGGTAGGTGAGATTCATTGTTATGATTAAAATTGTAGTATTGGTAGTTGAATGACCAAAGTTTAGGTGACTATGTACTATAGCAATTGAAGGAGTCCAGTGAAGGTTAAACTATTACCAAGAACTTTGTTCTGACATTTGGAAGAATGAGATTTGATGACCACTATAACTCTCCTGGCTGGGTATTGCAAAACCAAGTGAATACATGCGTCACTCCAAGTGTTATAATTATACAACCCAGTGCCCTTCTGATTTCTTTGCTACCTACTGAACTTTG